CCACTATATATATATATATATATATATATATATATACTCCCTTATTCCTTTCTTCAATCATGACTAATCCATGGTGGTACTGGTTTCCCTTCGTCCTGTTACCAAGCCTGACCTACCCATAAAAGACGAGCACAAAAATGACCCATCCAATGGATTGAAGACTTAAAATAAACACCTAATTTCATGGACCCAAATAATCATCTCAATTATATGTTCAGGCTAATGTTTTGGAAGCCATGTACCACTCTCTAATTCAAACAAGAATCCAAGGACAAAGAATCAGAGCAATTTAGTTTGTTCCAATTAGCAGTAGAATTCCAAAAAGGCGGTGAGAGACCAAATACCTGGTAAGCCAACGGCCCCTCAGCAATGACATTAGCATGGAACACCACATATTGCATATCAGTTAGAGTGCACACAGTATCAAACAGAAGCTTTGGCCTGTCCTTGCACCTCACATTCACAACTGAATACCCCTTCTCCTTGCAGTTCTCGACAGTCACACTAGCCCTGCTCTTATCTCTCTCTAAGTTCTTCATTCTATAGTTATCTTCTCTCACTAAATCCCTCCTACCCATCTCAATTTTCTCGTAATCTCTATCGTCAAACATCATCTGATGCAACCTCCTCTCAGTGTGGGTAACCCCCATAGAAACCACTGTTTTTGCACCCCTTTTATCTCTATCACCTCTCAAAATGTTCGATAAGAGCTCTTTGATCCTCGAAAGCCTTTGTGGGTCGTCTATTGGTGAACCTGAGCACTCATCGGTTATATACACCACAGAGGCCATTCTCGAATTGTGGGTCCAAACCTCAGCTGCGACTACATTGCACTTGAGGTCAGCAAGGACTGCGAAGATCTCAGAGAGAAGGCCTGGTCGATCTCTTCCCGTCAACTCGATGGATGTGTGCTCAGGTGATGGTTGGACCCCAACCGACCTCCGTTGTGAGGAGAAACTTGAGGTTTTTGCTCCAAGAGACTGGAAAACAGGGGTTCAAGATTTAGTAAGAAAACATCAAGAAATTCAATAAGAATAATCTTCACTGGAAAATGAAATGAAAATCAACTCATCATAGTTTTAAGTTATAGTAAGTGCAAAGACATGATTCCTCTCTCTCTGTTTCCTAACAAGGTAATAGGCAAGTTCCTCTGTTCCAACAGATTCCTACATAAGTTTCCCTCTCTCTCTCTCTCTT